AGGGCGTGTGCACTTGCCAGAGAGACAGAGAGATAGAAAGCAAGAAATCACCCCCCAGGGGGGATGGCCACACCGCAGTCCCTTCTCCTCCATTCTTCTCTTGGAATCTTGGGCACACACATACACGTACCTGGCATGAGTTTAAGCCACCAAGTCCGGGACTCGAACTGTGATTGGCTACTGGGAGTTCAGCGACATAACCATTATGCCAACTGCTGGTCCCGGATCTTATTCTAACAGAAAAGTAAAACACCATTTTTTAGGGACTAGTAGGTGATGTAATGGCTGTGTTGTTGGACTCCTACGTAGTTGACTACAGTTCGAGTCCCAGACCCAATGGCTTAAAGTCATGCTGAGGGACCAGCAGTTAGCATAATGGCTATGTTGCTGGACTCCCAAGTAGTTGACCACGGTTCGAGTCCTGGACCCGGTGGCTTAAAACTCACACCGGGCACATGTGTGTGCGTGCCCAAGATCCCGAGAGGAGAATGGAGGAGAAGGGATTGCGGCGTGGCCATCCCCCCTGGGGCGTGATTTCTTGCTTTCTGTCTCTATGTCTCTGTCTGTCTGGCGAGCGCACATGCCCTATAGCAAAAAAAAAAAAAGAAAAAAACTCATGCCGAGTATGTGTGCGTGTTGTGTGCCCAAGATCCCGAGAGGAGAATGGAGAAGGGATTGCGGCGTGGCCATCCCCCCTGGGGCGTGATTTCTTGCTTTCTGTCTCTATGTCTCTGTCTGTCTGGCGAGCGCACATGCCCTATAGCAAAAACGTCTCCAAAAAAAACCAAAAAAAGCTAAAAAAAACATTTCTTCCTGATTATTAAAGTAATACTTGTTTCTCCTAAAGAAGTTCAGCAAATTTAAGAAGACATAAAAGTGAAAATAAATACTGCCATAATCTGAAATAATAGTATGCCAGAGGTGTGAAATACCACTAATATAATGCTCTCAGTGACCTACTAATTTATACAAAAGGAAGAAAATTACAAATCCAACAGAGTTTTTTGTATAATATAATTATGTCATAATTAATTTTGCTAAGGTTGAAAAAGAACCATAATGTCCAAGAACTCAAGAATAACTAAATTTTGATTATGTTAAATTTTGTACAAATGCTATATATTTACACCTATTAATATGCTTTGGTGAATTTTAATAATATGTAAAGATATCAATTATATGAGTGAAAAACTTAAAAAATGTGTGTGTGGATATGAATAGTTGACCTCATTTAAGGAAAATAATATTCACATACATATCTTTTTCACATAGGACAGTGACAGAAAATCACCAAAATAGATTTTAGGATTGTGTATTATTGTTTTCTTCTTTATATTTTTCAGTTATCCCTCAGTTTTTATAATGAGAAAAAAGAATAGTATGCAAAAATATTATTAATTTGCTGATTAGTGAATTAAGCCTTTGTACTTACATGTGATAGAAGGAATATTGCATGGTATAGAAAACTCAGTAAATTAATATTAGGCTCAGTATTTTTTTTTTTTTTGGAGAGGTTTTTGCTATAAGGCGTGTATGCTTGCCAGAAAGACAGAGAGAGATAGAACATGAGAAATCACCCCCTGGGGGGTTGGCTACGCTGCATGCCAGGAGTGAGTTTAAGCCCCCAGGTCTGGGACTTGAACCATGGTTGACTACTTGGGAGTCTACCAACATAGCCATTGTGCAAACTGCCCAAGGCTCAGTCTTGATAGTAAACATTTGCCTCTCAATCTTAATTTTGTTTGGGCTGTCTGTAGTAGGAGTGTGCCTTATTTTGTTTAGGTATCATAAACTTTATTTTTGTTGTGAGCTCCATGTGTCAGGCACTGCTGTAGGCTTGGGATAGAAAAACCACCAGGATCTCTGTCCTTATGGTTCTTGCAGTCCATCAGAGAAGTTGGTATTAATCAGCTTAGGCTGAGGTCTTAAGGACACACAGAGGCAAACCAGGGAGGGGGAAGGAAGAACATTCCAGGGAGAGTAGGTGGCACAAGATGATTACTATATTAGGCAGAAGGAGTGTGATATAATCAATGCTTTTGTTAAACAAGTATTTCTGCTACCAACCTGTATCTTTTCAAGTATGAATTTATAACATGGTGGCACAAATAATCTATGATTACTTTCATAGATATCAATTTTCTTTTCATTGCACTCTTTTTTTTTTCATTGTATTTTTTATAAAGGGTAAAAAATTTTAATTCTTTGTGGTGTTTGGGCGTGATTTTTAAATTTTTTTTTTTCTATTATACAGTTTGGATGCTGTGAAGCTTTGTGTCTTCTTTCAACTGCTTTTCCAGTTTGCATTTGGAGTTTAGGTTGGCATTGTGGGTATGTATTTTCTCTAGTATATAGTTGTTTACAGCTATATAATATGAACAGAGTTCTTGGAATCTCTTTTTCTTTTTGTTTTACATGTTTATTGCAAAAATAATTATTTTAGATATTTAAAAATTATACAAACACAATTAGTTGGTCACCGGTTCTCTTACAATAGCAACTGCTCACTGCATGTATAATGTAACTGTTGACACTGGAGCCAAAACAAATTTTAGAAGGCCACTTCAGTTCTGCAGTCAACTGTGAGGATCGTATTGTGTACAATTTTGTGGTAGCAAGTTATTATTAGATAACAGTTTTTAAGCTTAGAATCATAAGAACAATGACAATATAATTGATTTTTTTTTTTTTAGTTCAAACACATGTTCTGTGCAATAGGAATGGTCTTTGTTATAACTTTTTTATAACTTATACATTTTATATTTTAAAAGTTAAATATTTTTGCTAACCAGTACTTTTCTTTTTTGTTTTTGGAATGAAAATATGAGTTTATTTTAGTGAAGAACATTTTTGAAATTCATCCTTTATTTGTGCATAATACATACATTTTTCATGAACAGTTTTTAAAATTTTATTTATATATACATATATTTATTATTTACTCTTCTTTTTAAGTCTTTAGTCAGTTTGGATTTTTGAAAAAATATCCATCGAATACTTTTTTTCTGCTTTACTATTTACATGAAAACTAGTGACAGGAGATGTTGGGAGATACCGAATTAGTTTTGATTCTAATGAATGACACATGCCTGTAAACATTTGTGGAGACTTGATGGTATGATCTGCATATTAATTTAAGGAAATTTTCATATGCTGGCAAAAGTCTTTTTCTCACTTTTTTTTAAGAGAGATTTTTGCTATAGGGCACATGCACTTGCCAGAGAGACAGAGAGAGAAAGTGAGAAATCATCCCTCAGGGAGGTTGGCCATGCCACAATCCTTTTTCCTCCATTCTCCTCTCAGGATCTTGGGCACACACGCACATGTGCCTAGCATGAATAAGTTTTTGGGTTTCTTTAAGAAGGAATTATTTTATTTATTATTATCATTTAATTTGACCAGAGAGAACGAGAGAGGGAGAGAACGTGAGAAAGCAAGCTGCCAGGTCCAGGACTTGAACCATGGTCAGCCATGTGGGAGTCCAGCATCTTAACCATCATCCCACCAGCTGGACCCCTGGCATGAGTGAGTTTTAAGTTACCGGGTCCAGGACTTGAATTGTGGTCGAATATGTGGAAATTCAGCAACATAACCATTATGCCATCTGTTGGTTCCATCACTTTTTTTTGCCTCAAGCTACTTGTTATCTGCAGCTACATGATTTCACTCTATTCTTTTTAACAGCAGTGACATAAAATAGATTTCCTTGTGTATAAATACCTAACATACTCTCCAGAAAGTAAATGTGCAAAGCTGCTACAACAGGTCATTCACTCCTACAGTGTTTTTGTTGGTAGTAGAGTTGATGCACAACATATAAATATTCAAGTTTAATGTTAAAAACTCAGACACTTGGCTAACTTTAATACCGTTTCTCAGGCTATATCAATATACCTAAACTATGTGTATTTTTTTTAAACAAAGACTTCTCAACTTCTCTATAAACTTAAGTTCTAAGGTTTTGTTCTATATGAACTTTAGCACTATCAGTATGATCTTTTAACCTTTATTCTACCTTTCTCTCAACATGACACCAGTAAATAAAAAAACTAGTGAGGTACTAACGTGAGAATTAATCTGGTGGTTTTGGTCAGAATGCATTTTTTTTTTTTTTTTGAGAGGTTTTTGCTATAGGGTACGTGCGCTAGTTAGCCAGGAAGACAAGAGAGAGACAGAGACAGAAAGTGAGCAATCACCCCCCAGGGGGAATGACCACACCGCAATCCCTTCTCCTCCATTCTCCTCTTGGGATTTTGGGCACACGTGCACATGTGCACACATGCCTGGTGTGAGTTTAAGCCACCAGGTCTAGGACTCGAACCGTGGTCGGCTACATGGGAGTCCAGCGACATAGCCATTATGCTAACTGCTGGTCCCGGTCACAATGCATTCTGAAGGAGGTATCCATGTCACTGGAATTTGGCAATAAGGTTTATTCTCTCTGATATGGATAACCAGATGGTGTGTCATTCAGTACATTTTTGGCTTTTTTTCTGGGCAAAGTGTGCCTCATTGGAAGAGGTGGGAGTATCAGCTCTGAAATCTGGTACACCATGCTTGGGGTCACAGTCACTGAACTGGGGTACACGTCTAGTTCTTTCTTTGAAGAAGAGGATCCTGAATGGTAATAGAAGTAACCACGAAAAGCTCTCTTCACTTTCTAGGGACTCTCATCCTTGTTCTCTTCTTCATCTTCAGAATTGGCAGCAATTAACGCATCATTTGTCTCTCCATGTTGAGAGCACATGTCTCATGGGTCCACCCAGAGAGTAAGCACCTTTGTTAAGCCTGGGTTGTTGTATATGGTGCGACTTTCTTACAGCTTTCAGAACATCGGTATGAGCTCTCTGAGACTTACTGACATGAATGCCTGTCCTCTCTCTTTTTTAAAAAAATTTTCCGTATGATGCCTGTGCTCAAAACAGAGACAGAGAGAGAGAGTAGGGCAGTGAGAAAGCACACCCCAGGAGGATGGCCACACTAAGATTCTTTCTCCATTCTTGTCTCAGGATTTGGGGCACAGACGCATACATGCCTGGGCCTGGGACTTGAATTGTGCAGTTGGCTGTGTGGGATCCAGTCACTTTGTCCACTGCACCACTGGCTGGCCCAAATATTTGTCCTTCTGGTGGTTTTTCTACATATTAGTAATTTTTCTATTTTTCTCAAAGTTATTAAGAACTGATTTTGGGGGCCAGCAGTTAGTGTAATGGCTATGTCACTGGACTCCCACGTAGTTGACCGTGGTTCGAGTCCTGGACCTGGTGGCTTAAACTCACGCTGGGCACGTATGTGTGCGTGCCCAAGATCCCAAGAGGAGAATGGAGGAGAAGGGATTGCAGTGTGGCCATCCCCCCTGGGGGGTGATTTCTCGCTTTCTCTGTCTCTTTCTGTCTGGTGAGCATACGCGCCCTATAGCAAAAAAAAAAAAAAAAAAGCCGATTTTGCAGCAAACCTTTCAACTGCCTCTTTTAAACTTAGCTATGTTTTCAAACTAGCTTTGTGAAGAAAAGAAAGATAAAGGCAGCAGTTTTATTCTTTATTTTTCCCATCACTGCCTTTCTGGGACCATAGATTCCACAGCCCTGACCATGTCCAGGCTAGGAACTGAGGGCACTGAGAAGCAGACCTGTGCTCAGCAGGTGGAGCCTCCAGGTTGTCGGGTGGCCAACCTTTTACTGAGAGAACAGGAAAGACTTCTTAACTGACCCGATTCTTTCCAAAGTTATCACTACACACAAAAATTCAGAAACATTTTTTCTGCTTGAAATCAAATGCTACCTGTCTTATGAAATTCTGATAAACTACAACAGTGTAATTAAACTATAAGGATGTAATCCAGGAACTATTGTATTTATATTAACAGTTGTCATTTAAAATAATTTTCCTCCAGTAGGTGGCCCTACCAGCTATCTGGGAAATAATTCTGTCTTCTGCAGCATTAAGGATGAACTTCATGATGTGTACTGCTTACTGAGAAAAATGTGGGTGACTCAGCACATTAGAAAATAAAGCTACACCTTTCTGTGTGTCAGTGGATGGCCAACTAGCATTTACTCAAAGGATTGTACTGTGATTGGTTTCCTTCCTTCCCAAAATACTAACTGAGCAGCTACTTCAGTTCTAGTCAGAGGTCCAGCTAAAATTGACTTTTGAGAAACTTTGATATTGGAGTAAAATGTGCTAAATCAAAATTTAAAGAAAATGAAAAAATACATAAAAATAAACACACAGTTCCAATTCTTTTAATAAGATCTATCTGATTTCATTTCTCAAATGACTGGAAAAAAGTTTTTCTTTCTTTCCTAATAGAGAGTTGAAGGAGAGCCTCTCAACAGGGTCTTGCCATGGTGTGGTCCTTCCCCTAGCCCTTCCTTCCTGCCCAGATTGCAGGTGTTCCTGGCATGTTCAGGGTGACCGGCCTTCTCATATGACTCCAGTATTATGCAGTGCCGCCCTATTGCCTATACTGCCATTGTTGGGCCTCAGATGATTTTTATGGAGCTGTGATTTATAGGAAAGATGTTAGTTTGTAAATAGTAAAATCAGTTTCTGAGCTGGTATAAAATGTACCATAATAGGCCTCACTTTTGGATTCATAAGAGAAAGCGAGACTACTAACTGAAAAATTTCTGTAAGTTTACTTTGCAAATATTGCTTCCAGAGCGCCTCCGTTGAGTGCCTCAGATGAGTCCAGAAAGAGCTGCACTGTTGGGATGGCCACAGTGGTTCTTACCCTCCTTTCATCAGCGTGGTTCCCACTGGATCTCTCAGCCCATCAAGATGCTTTGATTTTGGCTGGAAACTTGCTTGCAGGTACTGACAGGGAATTGGGACAGAGACTCAGGATTTTAGCTTTAGATTTCCATGGGTAAAAGTATTATGAGGACATTGTCAGGAAAGCTTCTTCCTGTAGTCAAAACTTTAGATGTTATTTACATACAGGGATGTGTACTTTAGGCAGCTATTCTGTACTGAGTATTTAAAAAAGAAAATGATTTTTTCTTCATTCATCATAGAACACATGTATGCACATGCGAGAGAGGAGACAGCGAGACAGAGAGAGAATGGTACTCTCCACAGAGTCTGGTCATGCTGTGATTCCCTTCCTCCAGCCCATTGAATCCTGTGCACTTGGTCACATGCTCAGTGTGTCAGGCTGACCAGGCTGGATTCCATATAGGATCCTCCTCCCCAGCAGTCCATCATCACCTTGTTATGGAGCAGACTTATGACGAGTACCTATTTTTTTCTTACTGCTAGAACACCCCCTGTGGGTGTGGTCATGCCATGATCTCCTATCCTTCACTTCTCCATCCTGTCAGGATTTTGGGCACACACATATCTGTGCTTTTTTGAAGTGAATTTTTTCATTTTATGTGCCCCCCCTTTTTTTTTTAACCTTTTTTAAGGTTTTTGTTATAAGGTGTGTGTACTCATCAAAGAGAGAGAAACAGTGAGAGGGAAAGTGAGAAATCAAATCACCACCCAGAGGGGATGGCCAGGCTGCAATTCCTTCTCTTCCATACTCCTTTAGGAATTTTGGGCACGTGTGCACATGCATCTAGTGTGATTTTCAAGTTGCCGGGTCTGGGACTTGAGCTGTGGTTGGCCTTGTGGGTATCTAGCACTTTAACCACCATGCCACTTCCTGGCCCTGCCTTTGGTGTTTTTTAAGCTGCCAGGGTCAGAATTTGAACTTTGGTCAGCTATGTGGAATCCAGCTCCCTACGCATGGCACTTAACTACTACACAATGAAACCAGCCCTCCTGAGTATTTTAAAGATGCCCTGTCCTGTCTAGCTCCTCAATTAACTATGGTAAACTAAGTTTGAATTTCATTTAAGTGGGCACATGTGCTAGGTACTGTCTCAAGCATAGAAACTATAAGAAAGCATAATGTGTGTTTCATTCTTAAGTTGGTTGTAGAATAGTGGGGGATACATGGAAGCAAAAGATGAGTGGCAGCAGAAAGTGACTGTAGTCGCCCTTCTTTGGCCAGATTGATGGGCTTACATACCAGACAGGGGGTGCAGCATGTGCAAAGGCATGGAGACATGAAGAATTATGTGACATTTAGGGTTCTATAAGTAACTTTGGATGTCATGCAATGAAAGGTATGAGAATGGAGAATTTGGCCTGCAAGGAAGGTGCGGTCCTTTGAAACTGACTGGGGTGGGGAAGAGTTATCAGTCTGGATTTGTTCTCTTTGCTTTGGGAGGCTATTACAGTTTCATGAAACAGAGTTAACAGATTAGAGAAATCACCCAGCTGACTTGAATTTGGGACAGGAGGTTAGTTTTGAAGTTAAGGCAAGAAACAGAATCTGAAGCAAGAAAATGGCTTTGGGATTATAGGGAAGAGACTGATAGAGAATGAAGGAGGCAGAATTGCCAGGCTTTGATAGCCAGCTGAAATTTGGTTTTAAAGATGACAAGAGGCCTAGGATGACTTCAAATACTGACAGTTATATGGCAGTAATAGTCATAGAAATTGAGAATACAGATTTTTTTGGGGGAATGTTAGTTTCATATTGAATTGAGGGTATCAGCTGTCTAGGAGACTCTCAAATAGGTAAACGGGTCTAAATGATTTGCATTCCCCGAGCAATTTCCTCTTCCATGCTGTGGAGGTGGGAGGTAATATATGTGCCTATATCACAGCCAGTGCCCCCAAATCTCTGAGAAGTTCCTGGACCTCCGAAGAAGAAGCCAACCTAGGCGCCACTAAACAAGAGGAGGTGTGGCCAGCTCTGGGGGAGCGCAGTCTGGTGCCCATGGTGGAACAGCTGTTCTCCCACCTACTGAAGGTCATTAATATATGTGCTCACGTCTTAGATGAGGTGGCTCCTGGACCAGCTATCAAGGTAATTATTTACTGGGGCAGCTGTTTTAATACAGTCTTAATGACTTTGTGGGTGTCATAACCTGTCCCTTCTTTATTCTCTTTTGCTGTAAATGAACAAAATTGATCATACCATGACGCTAATTTTTTTTGAGAGGTTTTTGCTACAGGGCACATGCGCTCGCCAGACAGACAGAGAGAGAGACAGAAAGCGAGAAATCACCCCCCCAGGGGGGATGTCCATGTTGCAGTCCCTTCTCCTCCATTCTCCTCTTGGGATCTTGGGCACGCACACACACATACCTGGCATGTGTTTTAAGCCACTGGATCTGGGACGCGAACTGAAGTTGACTACACGGGAGTCCAGCAACATAGCCATTACGCTAACTGCTGGTCCCATGACACTAAATTTAACATAAAAATGTGATCATCTGTTTCATGTAACCCTTTTGATATTATTTATCAATTACTGTCAACTCTAGAAATAAAACACCTAGCTTTATTTTTAGGATTTCAGAATTAGCTACGAAAGCTCAGCATTGAAGTTGCTGGCTTAAGGACCTCATTTGCTCTCTCCTTAAATGTTGGCAGTTTTGCTTTTCTGTGAAGTGCAATTTGATAAAATCAACTTCAAAACAAATGTTAAACTATTTGCACAATGAATTTCAGATAGATTAGTTCACTTGTAATTGTGTTCTCTCTCTTTTCTGTGTCTTCCATCTTAAACTCCAGTTTGACTTCCTAAGCTGCCGTTCATTACAGAGCTTCCCCTTCATTACAGAGTGCTGAAGAATCTTACCTCCCAGCTTAATGCCTGAGTACTTCTTATTGCTCTCACATGGACTTCTTCACAAGGCTTCTTTGACCTGCACAGCCTGTCTTCTGTCCACCCCTTCAGCCATCCACTCTTTAAGCCCTGCAGGTCTGATTCTTGCTTCCTTACTTCATAGTGACTCTTCCTGCCTGCGGGCTGTTTTATAGTCTGTGGGGACCTCTCAGTCCTGTTGTCCTCCTCTGTTCCCATTGTGAAAATTCTTCCTAGTGGCTTCTGCCTGGCCTATTGTGTTTTCTCTGACCCCTTTGCTGCTCTTCAGTAACGTTGTTTTTTTTTTTTTCCCTGCCTACCGTTCAATGCTTGTGAGATTCTGTTCTAGGTCATCTTCTCTTCCTATATTCTGGGTCAACACTGCCCAGTAGGACTTTCTGAAATAGTGCAAATGTTCCATATCTGTGGAAACCAGGACAGTAGCCCCTATCCACATGTGCTGTGAGACTCTTGAAATGTGACTGGTGTGACTGAGGAACTGAACTCATTTTGTTGAATTTTTCTTAAATTTAAAATTGAATCACCTTCTATGGGTAGTACATTCAATATGGGATAGGATAACCTGAGAGAGTTGGGGCTGCTCTTGTGTCTTCATCTAAACATCAGGTATTTTTGAAGCTGCAATCTATTGTAGCTAGCTGCCACCTAATACTTTTCTTTGACTGATTTATAGAGGTGTCAAATACGGTTATGTAAAACTGAGCTCTTCTCCTCCTCTTCATGGCTGTGCCACCTGCTCACCAAGTCCTTTGTTTTTCTTATTACACATGTCTTTTAAAAAATGCACATACGCATACTCATATACACATACCTACATGCACACGTACACATAAACATACGTGTATGTTAATGCATTCATACACACAAAGACACACACACACACACACAGATGTTCTCTGCCACTGTTCCAGCCCATACTGATATAGTATTTCATTTGGACTATCTATGGTACTAGCCTTTTTCTTCCTTTTTAAACAGCTTTCCTGAGATATTCATGTGCCATACAATTTACCCATCTCAAGTGTACAACTAGTTTTTTAAAATATGCCCAGAGTTGTGCAACCATCATCACATCTATTTTAGTACTGAGAAAGGATCCCTGTGCCCTTTAGCTAGAACCCCCTAGATCTGCATCCCCAGCTCTAGGCACCCACTAACTTTTTTTTTTTTTTTGAGTTTCTGCTTGTTATTAGTAATTCTTTTTTTAAAAATTTATTTATTATTATCATAATCTTGTTTATATTACATTGAATTGCATATAACTTTACACTGTATTGCATTGCTTTTTCAAAAGGGAATGCCATGCATGTCAGTCAATATAGAGACATTAAAATCCCCACTTCATCATTCAATATCTTTTCATTGTTTTTCCTGATCATTATTATTATTATTCCAATTTTTTTAAACCAATCACTATTTCTCATTTTGCTTGTAAAAAGACTTTACCCATCATGAAATACTTCTCAGACCAATCCAGTTGAGAATACTATACACGTCATCATCAATAGGTAATAAGCCATATCTGTTTCCCACTGACGTCCTGCCTCTCTATTTGTTCTCTTGCTATCTTTCTCTGTCCTCTTCTCTTCACCCCACATTCCACACTGTCTTATTCTTGTTAAATATTTTCACTGCTCTTTTTTTTTTTTTTTGAGAGGTTTTTTTTGCTTTAGGGAGCGTGCTCTCGCCAGACAGAGACAGACAAGAGAGACAGAAAGCAAGAAATCACCTGCCAGGGCGGATGGCCACGCTGCAATCCCTTCTCCTCCGTTCTCCTCTCGGGATCTTGGGCACGCACGCACACTCACCAGGCGTGTTTTAAGCCACTGCGTCCGGGATGCGAACCGTGGTCGACTACATGGGAGTCCAGCGACATAGCTATTACGCTAACTGCTGGTCTCTTTTTTTGTCTTTTTTTTTTTAGTATTTTCACTGCTTTTATGTCCTCCAATATTTCGCTCTCTACCATAGAGTGCGGATAATTGGTATATATTAAGTGGATACATATAATATCTTTCTTTCATAGCCTGGCTTACTTCACTCAGCAATAGATCCTCCGTTTCTGTACGCTTTCTATCAAGGACTTGCTATTTTTTATGGCTGGGTAGTATTCCATAGAGTATATATGCTACACTTTTCCAATCCATTCATTAGTTTGTGGACATTTAGGTTGGTTCCATGTCTTGGCAATCGTGAATAATGCTGCAATAAACATTGATGTGCAGGTACTTTTCCAACTGAGTGTTCTCCTGTCCTTTGGGTAGATTCCCAGAAGTGGGATTGCTGGATCAAATGGTAGTTCTATTTGTAGATCTTTGAGGAACCTCCATATTGTTCTCCACAGTGGCTGAACCAGTTTACATTCCCACCAACAGTGTAGGAGAGTTCCCTTTTCACCACATCCCTGCCAACATTTATCACTTTTTATATTCTTAATCTTTGCCATTCTGACAGGGGTTAGGTAGTATCTCATTGTGGTTTTTATCTGCATCTCCCTTATGATAAGGAATGTTGAGGGATGTTGAGCATTTACTCATATGCTTTTTGGCTGTTCGTATGTCTTCCTTAGAGAGATTTTTGTTCAGCTCATTTTCCTATCTTTTAAGTGGATTAATCATTTTGTTTCACATAAGGCACTTGAGTTCCCTGTGTATTCTGGTTATCAGTCCCTAGTCTGAGGCATATTTAACAAAAATATTTTCCCATTCTGAGGGTTGTCGATTCACACTTGTTATTGTGTCTCCCACTAACTTTCTGTGTCTATGGATCTGCTTTTTATGGATACTTCTTGGGGATGGGCTTATACTGTGGGTGGCCTTTTTGAGTAACTCCTTCCACTGGATAGGTTTTTCAAGAGTGGCAACCTCTTAGCTACACTCTCTGCAATCCTTCCCTGCCGCCCTCCAGTCCATTCTTCTGAGTGTAGCTGTTTATCCCATTATACTCATTTCACAGACAAAGCTCAAGGTGTAAGGTAACTGTCCTAGTCAGTTTGGGCTGCAGTAATCAAGTACCATAGTCTGAGTGGCTTATAAACAGCAGAAATCTATTTCTCACAGTTCTGGAGGCTCGGAAATCCAAGATCAATGTACTGGCAGATCCAATCTTGGCTGAGGGCCTGCCTTCTTATAGAAAACTGTCTTTGCACTGTATCCTCACATGATGAAGGCATGAGTGTCTCTTTTATTTTAAAATTTTATTTATTTTTATTAATTTTATATTTTGTAAAGTCCTCATTGTGATATTCTCTCTCTCTCACACACACACACATCTATCTATCTATCTATCTATCTATCTATCTATCTATCTATCTACCTATAAATTTTTTTAAAAACAGAACTATACATTTTCCTGTCTGCCATATGTTTCCTCCTCTGGTGTCTCTTTTATGAGGGCACTAATCTCTTTCATAAGGGTACCACGCTTTGACAAAATCTTCTCCCAATGGCCCCATTTCTTTTTTCATTTTATAATTGTTAAAAGGAATATGTGCTTGCAGAGTGTTAAGGGGGGTAGAGAGAGAGAAAGAATGTCCATGGTGTGGTCATGCTGCAATCCTCTTTCCTCTACTTTTCTATCCTGTCAAGATTCTTTTTTTTATTTTTTTGGAGAGATTTTCGCTATAGGGCTCATGTGCTCGCCAGACAGACAGAGAGAGACAGAGAGACAGTGAGAAATCACCCCCCAGGGGGGATGGTCACGCCGCAGTTCCTTCTACTCCATCCTCCTCTCGGGATCTTGGGCATGCACGCACACGCGCCTGGCATGAGTTTTAAGCCACCAGGTCTGGGACGCGAACCACAGTCGACTACATGGGAGTCCAAAGACATAGCCATTACGCCAACTGCTATTTCCCCATCCTGTCAGGATTCTGAGCACGTGTACCTGGCATAGTTTTCTTTTCTTCTCATTTCTTTGGTTTTTGCATAGGGTATGTGCATTCCTCTGAAAGAGAGAGAAAGTGAGAATGACCTCCCAAGAAGGATGGCCACACTGCAGTCCCTTCTCCTCCATTTACCTCTTGGGATTTGGGACATGCACGCACATGCCTGGCATGATTTTCAAGCTGCTGGATCTGAAACTCCAACTGTGGTTGGCCATCCAGCACTTTAGCTACTATGCCACCTGCTAGCTCTCTGTCATAGTTTTCAAGCTGCTGGGGCTAGAACTTGAACCATAGTTGGAAGTGTAATATAAGATCTGACTCCCCTAACCAATATGTATTAGGCCTGGCTCACTTTTTCTCTTTTTTAAAAATTTGCTAGAGTGTGTGTACATTCACCAGAGAAAGACAGAGAGAAAAAGAAAGAAAGCACCTACCTCCACACCATGTAGCCACTAACCACATGTGCTGTGAGACTCTTGTGGGATGGACACACTGCAATCCTTACTCTTCCATTTCTCCTTTTGGAATTTTGGGTATGCATACACACAAACCTGACATATTTCTCAAACTGCTAGGTCTAGGACTTGAACCTCGCAGTTGGCCATGTGGGATCCAGCCACCCAACCACACTGCCACCAGCTGACCTGGGCCTGACCCACTTCTCATACAATCACCTTGGAGATTAGGTTTCAGCATAAGAACTTGAGGGCCAGAGACATTGACAGCATAGCATGCACTTTTCTGAGATCAAGAAGTAGGCATTGTAAAGCTAGGATTTGGAGTTTGTGTTTCTGTCATCTCATCTTCACTCTACTTTATGCTGACTTGCCTCCTATAGGGTGGGAGCCTGAGCATTCTATATTCTCTTACATACGGTGTATTGGAAAGAGTATAGGCTTTATGGATACATCTGGATTTGCTGACCTCTAGTTCTGCTGCCTATTAGCCATGACCTCAAATGAATCACTTCATCTCTGCACATTTCTTCATTTGAAAAATGGAGCTGAAAGTGTTGCCTTGGATCCTTTTTATGTCATGGCTCACATAGAACGCTCTGGTTGCTTACTGTTGGAGAACATGGGCCTGGGAACTCCAGAGGCCTTAGGCCTTTCCTGATTCTCTGGGGATTCTTTTAATCTCCAACTCATTCACCGTGCACCTGTTAGGAAGTTCTGGGACAGTTCTGGGTCAAAGTAGAATACATAAATAGTGTTGACGCTCTGTGAATATGGTTCAAAGAATAAAATGATTAGCTCTTTTCAGTAAAAGTTAAGACCATATACCATGGTTTTTATTTTTGCATTGATTATACTTTTCTGTCACACTTCATTGTTTTCTACTTTAGGCAGCTTTGCCCTCTCTAACAAACCCCCCTTCTCTAAGTCCCATCCGACGAAAGGGAAAGGAGAAAGAGCCAGGGGAACAAGCATCTGTACCGTTGAGTCCCAAGAAAGGCAATGAGGCCAGCACAGGTAAGGAACAGTGCTGGGATGATGGGAAAGGAGTGGGCACCATTTGTCATGTGGAAATACTGAGCTTATATTCCTGTCAGCATGAATGATAATGGTACTTCACGGAAGTAAAATACCCTGTAGTAAAGTCACAGAAAGTTTCCCTGAGTGTGATTTCAGATGTTAATAACTAATAGGGACTAGCAGTTAGTGTAATGGCTATGTCGCTGGACTCCCATGTAGTTGACCACGGTTTCCGTCCCGGACCCGGTGGCTTAAAACTCATGCCGGGTGTGTGTGCGTGCATGCCTAAGATCCCAAGAGGAGAATGGAGAAGAAGGGATTGCGGCGTGGCCATCCCCCATGGGGGGTGATTTCTCGCTTTCTGTCTCTCTGGCGAGCGTACGTGCCCTATAGCAAAAACCTCTCAAAAAAAAAAAATTACTAAATGCATAAAAAAATTATACCCAAAAAGTGAGTCCTGTCTATAAAGAAAATTTTGTAACTTTTTACTAACATATTAAGGCTTTATTTTTAAGTTTGTTTAGTCTTTGAGAGAGACAGATACAGACAGGCAGACATCCCCAACAGGGTCTTCATGTCGTGATCCATCCCCAGCCTTAGCCTGGATCAGGGCCTTTAGGACATCGACCTGAGACCTTCCCATGGGTTCAGAGTTGCAGAGCTTTGGGTAACTTATGTTATTTCTGTGCTACTGTGACTGACATAACCTATGGATTTAGGCTTTTAAGAAAAGATACTATTTTCTATGAAGGGTCTTTAGTACCCATTTAAAAAAGATTGGACTCTATAAGCACAAAGTTATCAGAATGTGATTTTTCTGACAAAATAAGTAAACTAAAGACTCAAGTAAAAAAGTTTATAAAACTGGAGAAAGATGGTTTATATAGTGGCACTTTGACATTTAGTATCTCTTTAATGATATTATTTGTGCCCTTTAAAGTGTTCAAAGCATGTTTATATCATCTTTGTTTGATTGCTTAACAGGCTCATGAACTATATTGGCTGGGAGTAACCTCGGGCTCAGAGCCTTTCTGGGATTGGCCAGCAGTCACTGAATCAGCTGTTCCTCTGATTCTCAGATTGATGCCTTACAAAGCAAATGAGCAGCCAAAACAAAACAGAGAGCTGCCTCCCACTGCTGCTGCTCTTCTGTGTTTTTTTTTTTTTTTTAGTACTTATGATCTATTTGCATTTGTTAGTCAGTTTCTCATTACTTATAAGTACTCAAAAAGTCAGAGGAAAGATTTGAATTTTCTTTTTTTTACTAGAATACTTCTAAAAATCATCGTTGCCAGTAATCTCTCTTAAATGTGGCAAGTTTTTAGGTTTGTTCTAAAAGCTTATATTGTGTGTGTGTGTGTATCTTTAAAGCCTCCAGACAATCTGATACCTCAGGGCCGGTCACAACAAGTAAATCATCATCAGTGGGGAGTTTCTATCATCTTCCTTCATACCTCAAATTGCATGATGTCCTGAAAGCTACTCATGCTAACTACAAGGTATAGATTTTTGCTTTTTTTGTAACTATATATGCACATAATACATTTTTCTAACGGAGTGTCAATGTTTTTCTTATGATATATAGAATGTGTATACTTAAATACATATACATGTTTACTTGCATGCAAATGAGTTAGCCCTTTAAGTTATAAGTTACAATTCATTTTTTCAGGTTTGTCTTTTAGTTTTGTTTATGTCTTTCAGCTTCTATCATACAAATTTTTTTGGAGAGATTTTTGCTCTAGGATGTCTGTGTTTGCTGGAGAGACAGCGAGACATAGAGACAGAAAATGAGAAATCATATCCTTCCCACCCCCCAGGGAATGGCCACACCATAATCCTGTCTCCGTTATTTTCCTCTTGGGAACTTAGGCATGCATGCACGTGTGTCTGGTGAGAGTTTTAAGCCGCCAGGTCCAGAACTTGAACTGTGGTTGACTACATGGAAGTGCAGTGACATAACCATTATGCCATCTGCTGGTCCTAAATACTTTGCGGATGTTTATATTAGAGAAATGATCACTTTTAAGGCTTATGGATATTGTTTCTGGGCTTCCCAAGACCACCCCATTTAGATATATACTAGAAGAATTTATGAAACTATACCTGTAGTTTTATTCACAGCTAAGATTTATAACAGTGACATAGTAAGGACATTCAATCAGATTATTATAGGGAAAGTTGCCCAGGTAGAGGCTGGGGAGATTTTTGTACTGTGCTTTCTTCCTGCCATAAAACTTGGTGGTCATGTAGGTACCCTCTGCATAACACGAACCCAAAATTCCAGGCTCAAAAAAGAAGAAAAGCAGGTGTTCAACTTAAATTGTGTGTTTCAGATAGTCTTTGCACAGTGAGCTACCCTTATTAGCTAGGCAAAGTTTTATATCAGTGTAGGAAACTATTTACCAGTTGCCTCAGAGGTCAACCTTATAAGCAGGCCTATGGGAGGATAGCACTCTGCTATATTGCCTCTTAGGTATAGGTTGGTTTAGTTCTTTTAGTTACTTTTTTCTCTTTATTTGCAATTTGTTATATATGATATATTCATCTAACTTAACTTTCTTTTCTAGTTGCCTAGTTTCTCCAGTCCTATTTACTGAATAATCTATTTCTCTACACTGACTGGCTTGAAATACTACTTTTATCAAATACTAAATTCTCATGGTTCTATAGTTTCATTATTTTGTTATATCAGTCTTTCCATCTTTTAAATTATTGTGGTTCAATTTTATACACACACACATACACACACACACACATATATTTAGTTTCTTCTTTTTAAGTTATTTATTTGATTTTATTTATTCATTCACTTATTTTTTAATTTGACCAGAGAGAGAGAGACAAAGTGAGAAAGCAAGCCACCAGCTCCAGGACTCGAACCATGGTTGGCCATGTGGGAATGTCCAGTACCTTAACCACCACACCACCTGCTGGTCTCTAAGTTTATTTATTTCTTTCAAGAGCAGGAGAGACAAAGACAGAGAAACAGTACCCCCAACAGGTACCTTGAGCTGCCCTGAGCTTCAGCCAGCCTGGATCATGGGCACATGCATTCCCAGTGTACTCACAGAGGTCTTCAGATGTGAACCTGGAACCTTGCCATGTGGTCAGCTTGCAGAGCATCATGTATTATTACTGCATCATTATCCAGCCCCCACTTGATATATTTTTGAGTGAATCAGTTCCCCCATTCTTATTTAGAATGATCTGGATCCTTATTTGTTGATTTTTGCATTTATATGGAATTAGATAAGAGTAAGCTTATTAGATAAGATAAGCTTATCTTATTAGATTTTTTTTGTTACTAATAAATACTTCTGAATTTTTTTCAAATACCATTACAAGCCTTATGCAACCTACTTTATGAAGGACATTGATAATTTTTTAAAGTTTATTTATTTCTTCTGATAGAGACAGAGTCACTTCCCACAGGGTCCTCAGACCATGAGCCACCCTGAGCCTCAGCCTGTCAAGATCATGAGCAAGCATGTGCCTGTCATACATAGAGAGGTCTCAGGACATGAATATGGTACCTTCCAATGTGGGTCCTGCATTGTAGAATGTTGCATTATTCGTGTGTCTCTGTCTGGCTTGGATAGTGATAATTTTGAAAGAAAAAAAACTTCAACCACATTTTATGAAAGATTCAGAATCTCTTTTTTTTTTTTTTTGGAGAGTTTTTTTGCTATAGGGCGCGTGCGCTCGCCAGACAGACAGAGAGACAGAGAGACAGAAGGCGAGAAATTACCCCCCAGGGGGGATGGCCATGCCGCAATCCCTTCTCCTCCAGTCTCCTCTCGGGATCTTGGGCACGCACGCACACGCGCCCGGCGTGAGTTTTAAGTCACCGGGTCCGGGACATGAACCGCGGTCAACTACGTGGGAGTCCAGCGACATAGCCATTACGCTAACTGCTGGTCCCCAGAATCTCTCTTTAGCTGCATGTTCCGTGTGTCAGCTCCCAAGTAGAAGAGAGTACATTTTAAATACCTTATAGAGATATTTCTTTTACAGCCGTTTGCAGCTCACACATCTTTAATCCTAGTACCCATTTCTGTGTTTCTAGTGAGTTTGCACTTCATTTTTCATTTTCCTTTCTGAATACCCTGGATTCTAAGGTGCTTCACTTTAATTCTGGCCTCCCTTCTATCTTGGATTTCTGCTTCCTCTGCTCCATTGTCCTCTTTGTTAAATCCTACTGTAGAGATTTCTCAGCTTGTAGGTGTTTGGGCAACTGGCATGTCTTGTTAGATTGTTTTTTGTTTTACCAACTCTGTTTCTGTTGTTCCTTCTGCTGAGCTGCCTTTGTTATAGCCAGCCCGAACAACTTTATCTGAATTTGATGATTTCTCCCAGGGATTTTTTTTTTCTTTTTTTGAGAGGTTTTTGCTATAGGGTGCATGCACTTGACAGAAAGAGAGAAACAGAGAGATAGGACGTGAGAAATCATCCCCCAGGGGGGATGGCCATGCCGTAATCCCTTTTCCTTCTTTCTTCTCTCGGGATCTTGGGCATGCATGCACATGCACCTGGCATGAATTTAAGCCACGGGTCCAGGACTTGAACCGTGGTTGACTGCATGGGAGTCCAGCAACATAGCCATTGTACCAACTGCTGGTCCCTCTCCCAGGGGCCTTAATATATATGGACTGAGACACTGTATTTTGTAGTTTATGTTATACTATCTATGTGATACTGGTTGTGGTGGACATTTAACATTTTTTCTCATTATGACAGAAGGTAAGGATTCTTTCTAGCAGTATCAGTATAACTTGGAAGGTATCTTTGAAAAATAATAGTTTTGGTGTAACAGTCTAGAAGAGGAGTTCCTTTGCAAGATGTTTCCTCAGTACTAAAAACAGACACACACACATCTTGTGTGTTGAGTTTGCAGGTCTGCACAACAGATCATCTCACCATTGCACATGACATACGTGACTGTTGTAGGTAGCTAGCATGCGATAGTGCCACTAACTGTGTGTTCTCTCCTTCCACCCTCCCAAGGTCACGTTGGATCTCCAGAACAGCACTGAAAAGTTTGGGGGTTTTCTGCGCTCTGCCTTGGATGTTCTCTCTCAGATTCTAGAGCTGGCGACTCTGCAGGACATTGGGAAGGTTTGTGTCTCATTTCTTTATTGAATTGTGGTCAGCACACTAGGCCAAGTGCATGTAAGGTTGAAACTTAGTTCTCCAGGTGTGGCCAGGCAGTAGCCATAGCTTGGGAAGACTCTGACTCTACAGGGTCTGTCTGACTCTGACAGACACCTGAGTCTGTCAGATTCATGTCTTAGCCAAGAAATTTGGAGGGAAAGTCTATTTGTGTACTGTTTTGTTTATTTCCATATGTTAGTTAAGCCAATTTATTCTAGAAAAAAATTTTTTTTTTTTAAATTTTTTAATTGCCAGAAGTCATGCTGACTGGGAGAAAGGGAGGGAAAGGGAGAGAGCTCTGGATAATGCTTTGGCTTAAGGTTATGTTGTGGCTGGTTTGATCTTTTATCCAGACCACTGAAACTTTCTTCACATTAGCAGTAAGGCTGTTTTGCTTTTTTATGATACGTATGTTCACTGTTGTAGAAGTTTTACTATCCTTCAAGAACTTTTCCTATGCTTCCACAATTTGGTTTATTAGGTTAAGTCCTAGTTTTGGACCTATCTTGGCTTTTAACATGCTTTCCTTGCTGAGCTTTATCATTTCTAGCTTTTGATTTGAAGTGACAGGTGTGTGGTTTTTCTTTTTACTTGAACACATGGAAACCATTGTGCGTTCATGAATTGGCTTAATTTCGGTATCGTGTGTCAGGAAGTTAGGGAGGCCTGAGGAGAGGGAAAGGAAGGGAGCAGTGGCCAGTTGGTGAAGCAGTCAGAGCACACGTATTGGTTATTGCTCTTTTGTACGGGTGCAGTCCATGGCTTTCCAAGACAATTATAACGGTAACATCAAAGATCACTTATCATATATCACTGTAACTGATATAATAATCATCAAATAATTTGAAATATTTTGAAAATTACTAAAATGTGACATAGAGACATGAAGTGAGTAAATATTATAGGAAAAGTGGTGCATATAGACTTGGTTGCCACAGGGGTGGAACAAATTTTTGAATTTTTTAAAAACCCAATACCTGGGAAGTAGAGTAAAATGAAGCACAATTAAATGAGGTATGCCTGTATATCTTTTCTCTGACTTCTTAAAAAAATTTGATTTTTTAATTATAATTTTTTAAGAAAAATTTCAAAAATAGAGGTTTGCTGTTGTACTTCTCCTGCCTCAGCTTTCCAGCTAGGACTACAGGTGAACACTGCCATGCCCAGTTCTTTTTCTTTTTCTTTTTCTTTTTCAGATCTTGCTATGTTGTCTAGGCCAGCCTCTGGCTCATGATCCTCCTTGCACGGCCTCTTGTGTCTCTGAGACCACAGGCATATGTCAGTGCACCCAGCTTTGGGCCTCCATGTAGTCCTAGCTTGTGGAACACAGTGTTTTAACACATTCTACCACACCTAGGCCATCTGGCTTCTTTTAAAACTTAATACTGGTTTTGAGTTATTTGATTATGATGCCGTGTAGTTTTCCTTACATCTTGTGCTTTATTTTGTGTCTGGGTTTGCTGAGTTTCTTCTATCTGTGGCTTTATAGTTTTCTTAATATTTGGAAAATTTTTGATCATCATTTCTTCATATGTGTCTTTCTCTCCTCCTCCTCTCCACTTCTTTTTCTCCTCTCTTAATGATTACCTGCACATTTGGTTGCTCAAAGTTATCTATAGCTTACCAGTGTCCTTTTCAGGTTTTTATTATTATTTCTGTTTCTCATTTTATGTAGTTTATTGCTATGTCTTCAGATTCTCTTTGCTTTGCTTTGTTTAATCTGCTGTTAATCCCTTTCTAGTGTATTTTTCATCACTGATACTGTGGTTTTTATCTCTAGAAGTTTGGTTTGATTTTTTTGCCTTTTTAAGGAGACGGAGACTGGTATTTTTGACAGGGTCTTACCGTGTTACCAGCTTCCCAGTTAGCTAGGATTATAGACATGCACAACTGCAGTCAGTGTGCTCAAGTGGGCTCGGGAGTCACACCAGACTTCTCATGCAGCCTCCAGCCTCCCAAGCTGTGGCCTTGTTTGTGTATCACAGTATCTGGCTCCTTTTTTTCTATCACTTGTGTTCTTTTTAGAAAATCTCTCATGTCTCTCCTTGACTTTTTGAATATAGTTTTTTTTTTTTTTTTGAGAGGTTTTTGCTATAGGGTGCATATGCTTGTCAGAAAGACAGAGAGAGATAGACAGAAAGTGAAAAATCACCCCCCGGGGGGATAGCCATGCCACAATTCTTTCTCCTCCATTCTCCTCTCGGGATTTTGGTCACGCACGCATATGTGCCTGGCATGAATTTAAGCATCTGGGTCTGGGACTCGTACCACAGTCAACTACGTGGGAGTTCAGTGACATAGCCATTACGCCTACTGCTGGGCCTGGATATAGTTGTTTGTTTGTTTGTTTGTTTGTTTTTTCAGCAAAATAATTTTATTTTCTAACTCACGGTAAATATGTACATCCAATAATATGTGCTCAGTTTGCACATCTATTCACAAATGACTTCCAAATTACAACTGCTTTGATATTTTAGCATGTACTGGCTTCCTCAGTTAAGATACAAAAAATGCTCTCAGACAGGTAACATTCTGAATATATCAGATTCGTCATGGCACAATTTGCTTCAGTTAGGTAAGTCCTATAAACTTGAAGCTTTGTCAAGCTACTACATTTGCATCTAGTATTTCCAGATGAATAAGATGGAGCAATATCAGCTTGTATTCCAGAGGAATCTCCTTAGTTTTTCTGGTTATGGAGCCACTTATCCACATCAATTGGTACTGTGCAGGCAGACTCGCATGGTGGTGGTAAGGCATCCACAATGGGTTTGGCAGCATCAGAATCACATTTGAAGGGGCTCTCAGCCCCTGTTGTATTCATGCAACTGATTCCTTTTCCATCTGTTTTCTTAGTCACCAATGCTTCCCAGTAGTCATGAGTGCTTTTAATAGTATCAACAGCAAAGTCCTTATCTTTAAATTCTGCATTGAAAGCAAACTCATTTTCTGCTTTTCCATCAGGAAGCTTGTACCTTCTAAACCAGTCCACAGTAGCTTCTAGGTAGCCAGGTTTCAGGCGTTTGACATCATTGATATCATTATAATTGGCGGCATCAGGATCCTCCACGTTAATGGCAGTGACTTTCCAGTTGGTCTCCCCTTCGTCAGTCATAGCCAGTATGCCCAGAACTTTCGCCCCAATTTGGGGGGAGGGGAGAGGTTATTTTTGCTATAGGGCACATGCACTCGCCAGAAAGACAGAGAGAGACAGAGAGACCGAAAGCGAGAAATCACGCCCCGGGGGGATGGCCACACTGCAATCCCTTCTCCTCCATTCTCCTCTCGGGATCTTGGGCATGCACGCACATGCGCTTGGCGTGAGTTCAAGCCGCCGGTCTCGGACTTGAACTGCGGTCGACTACATGGGAGTCCAGCGACATAGCCATTCCGCTAACTGCTGTTCTCAATATTTTTCTGTTTTTCTATGCAAAAATGCATCATGACTTTCCCAACAACCCAATATATTAAACAAATAAGGAGGGCATCAGCGAGAGCCTTTTCCTTTAAAAAAAATAAGAAAAGAAAGAAAAAGGAGGAGGCAGACCCATGCATCAAAGATGGTTTAATGAAAATGTACAACTCTTTATTAAAAGTTTCTGGTTTATTCGTTTCTGGGCTTGTGGACTGGAGCTGTCTATTAATTACTGTCCGGGGCCCTCCCTACTAACCCACAAGCCCACATCTTGTAGTCAGGCCAACTTTCCAGGCTTTGCCATCCTCTATTACTAGCTTCCAACCAGGAATAAATTCCTTAGCTGGGCTCCAAGCACAGTCCCTTCAGTGACATGCCACTGCATCTTTAAAAATAAAACCAAGATGAGGGCCGGCAGATGGCGTGGTGCTTAAAAACATTGGATTTGCACATGTTCGACCATGGTTTCGAGTCTCGGACCTGGTGGCTTGCTTTCTCGCTTTCACTTTCTCTCTCTCTCTGGTAAAATTTTAAAAAATAACAAATGGAATTAAATTTTAAAAAATTATTTTAAAAATTATTTTTCCATTGGGCACGTGTGCTTGCCAGAGAGAGACAGAAGAGGGAGGGTAATTGAGAAATCACTCCTCCCTCCCCCCCTGGAGGAATGGCCATACCGCAGTTCCTTCTCCATTCTCCTTTTAGGATTTAGGCACACACATGTACCCAGTATGTTTTTCAAGCCTCTGAGAACCATGCAGTTGGCCTGTGGGATCTAGCACCTTAACATCATGCCACCTGCCGGCCCAAGAGAGGCATTTTCAGTAACTGGTTTTCAACAGTAGAAACAGTGACTCATGATTTATTAGGCAATGAGGAAGCACACTATTGATTCTGAGCACTTGCTTTGGTGGCCTTCTTAGAGTTTACATTTTCTTCCTTCTTTTTTTTTTTTTTTTTTTTTTGGGGGTTTTTTTCTTTTTTTTTGAGAGGTTTCTGCTATATGGCGCATGCACTCGCCAGACAGACAGAGAGAGACATAGAGACAGAAAGCGAGAAATCACCCCCGGGTGGGAGGGTCACGCCGCAATCCCTTCTCCTCCATTCTCCTCTCAGGATCCTGGGCATGCACGCACACGCGCCCAGTGTGAGTTTTAAGCCACCGGGTCCGAGATGCGAACCGTGGTCGACTACGTGGGAGTCCAGCGACATAGCCATTACACTGACTGCTGGTTCCTATTTTCTTCCTTCTTGATTCTTCATAAGGACATTGACTGTCAGACCTTGTGTGTGTATGAGTGTGTGTGTGTGGGTGTGTATGTATGTGGTTTTCAGACAGAGCCTTACTAGTCACACCTCTGCCTTGGCTTCCCAGGTAACTGATTATAAGTACATGCAACTGTACCTGCCTTTTAAGCTTCATTTTTGATGATAGCTTATGAGTACTGTAATGTGAAGGTAGACATTTTGGTTACTTTACAGATTGCTTTAAGACACTTCCAGGACTAATTTGTAGTAAATTACATATAATGCATTATATGTTGTGAACATGTTCAAATCAGGGCTTTTGACTGCTTTTCACAATTCTGAGTTCCTGCCCTAAAAATAGGACTGGACATGTGATAGGCAGTAGATACTTGATAACTATTTATTGCATGAATGCGATAATGAAGAATGTATTTTAAAATGCAAGAAAGAAATGTTTTAATATATTTACTTTGATTTCAAGACTTTTTCTTACTCTGTTCAAGATGATAAACTGGGAACCTTCCTCTTATTTTCCTCTGAGGTTTACACAATTTAAGCAGAAACTGTCTTTTGTCTTTTATTTCTGTCTGTAATTCACAACAATAATGGGTCATCTGAGAGTGACAGTACCTTACTGTTTTTTCCACAGTGTGTTGAGGAGATCCTAGGATACTTGAAATCCTGCTTTACTCGAGAACCAATGATGGCGACTGTTTGTGTTCAACAGGTGAGAAGTTTGTTTCCTGTCTTCTCTGTTAAGCTCTTCAGACATGACTATAAAATGCTACTTCCTATTTCAGAAGTGGGTGGTGGTGGCATGATCAATGGGAAGGTGGTGGGTGGTCTAGCCTGTCGTTCTTTTGCTCACTTTATGATTGGGCCAAGAGGGAAACCTTCATTCCTCTCTCCCCTAGAGTATGAGGGTCCTCACTGTGAGGGTGATATTGGAAGTTCCTCCCTATGTAACCATTATCTTCCTGTCCCTCTGAGTTTTTGTTTAGAATGGTCAACCTTATTTAGAATCACAGGAAACCTGGAACTTTATTTTAGGTACAGAGAGCCCTTCTCATCAGTAGTCTCATATGCTATTGATAGTAATTTACAAAAAGAATTTCACATTCTTAATTTTTACTAACATTCAATTATTTAGAGATTTGTATTCGTTTGGGAAATTCTAATGTTGTTGCTCATGCTACTTAACAAATGTTCATGGTGCCAATTCTTTTCTTTTAGTTATTAAAAACTCTCTTTGGGACAAACCTGGCCTCCCAGTTTGATGGCTTGTCTTCCAACCCCAGCAAATCTCAAGGCCGAGCACAGCGTCTGGGCTCTTCCAGCATGAGGCCAGGCTTGTATCACTACTGCTTCATGGCTCCATACACCCACTTCACCCAGGCCTTAGCTGACGCCAGCCTGAGGAACATGGTGCAGGCGGAGCAGGAGCACGACACCTCGGGGTAACAGTT